TTTGAGTGCGAGTGTGCTGAACTTCAGTCGCATGACTGAGCGGTTCAATAGGCGCAGATCTAAAATAGGACGCAACCCCCCCTTCCTTCTTCGAAACAATGAAGTACCAGCTGTAGAACCCGGAGTCTGTCTCGATGGCCTCCTTCTTTAAGAGAGTAACTACTTCTTGTTCTAATACCAGAGCCTGCTCGGGACCCACTAGAGCGGGGGTCCCCGTTAAATCGAGGCGAATGAGAACGGAACTGGATTCTGTAGCCTCTTTCTACAGTACGCAGGACCCATTGAGACACATTTGGCAGTAGCTTCTATGCTGCTAAATAATCTACTAAGGGAATCAGTGATCTCTGGTGTGCCCAGAACGGCTAGAACCGAACTAGCTGCTCTTGATACCTCCGTAGAGGTAGCAAGCCTCTTAGTACCGCTAAGTTTCCAGGCGGTAACTGAGAGAAGCGCTTGCCGGAGACCGCTGTGCCCTGGAACACGGCAGGGTTGGCAGACCGACGTCCTGAGGGCACTGAGGAGAGACGGGCACCGTGTAATGCGGTGTGAACCTCTCTTCCCCAGAGGGGCCTGCCCTCCGAGGTCCTGAGCCACAGCATCAGGACTCTCAAAACTGAAGTTTCCTATTGAAAACGACGGCCCTCAGACCCACGTCGTCTGCTAGGAAGACTAGACCACAGCCTGCTCGGGGCAGGCCCAATGAAGAACACTTGGCAGTTGCTCCCACACCGCCAGGTGACCTCATAAGGGAACCAGTCTCGCGAGACTGGCCTGTGGTGCGCCTAGGGCAGCTAGCTCAGTGCCCTGAAGCAGCGGACCGGCAGGGGACGGCCGAACTAGCTGCTCTAGATACCTCCGTAGAGGTAGCGAGCCTCTTAGTACTGCTACGTTTCCGGGCGGTAACTGAGAGAAGCGCTTGCCGGAGACCGCTGCGCCCTGGAACACGGCAGGGTTGGCAGACCGACCTCCTGAGGGCACTGAGGAGAGACGGGCACTGTGTAATGCGGTGTGAACCTCTCTTCCCCAGAGGGG